CATGGTGGCACTACTCCAGAGGCGTGGAGCAGAAGTGCGGTGGTCTTGTTCTTTAAGAAAGGCGACAACGCTCTCTTGAAGAACTACAGACCGATTTCCCTTCTGAGCCGCGTCTACGTGCTGTTTTCGAGAGTCATTACGAATCGTCTCGCACGCAGACTCGACGACTTCCAGCCTCCCGAACAAGCCGGTTTCCGAAAAGGCTTCAGTACCATAGACCACATACATACCCTGCGGCAGATTGTACAGAAAACCGAAGAGTACAATCTGCCACTTTGCCTGGCGTATGTGGACTATGAGAAAGCCTTTGATTCCGTCGAAATTTGGGCGGTGCTACAGTCCCTTCAGCGGTGCCAAGTTGACTGTCGGTATATCGAAGTGCTGAAGTGTTTGTACAGTAGGGCTACGATGGCTATCCGAGTACAGAACCAGAGCTCGAAGCGTATCCAACTGCAGAGAGGTGTAAGACAGGGTGCCGTTATATCCCCGAAACTCTTCACCGCTGCGTTGGAAGACGTTTTCAAGCTACTGGACTGGAAAGGATACGCTATTAACATCAATGGCGAGTACATCACTCACCTTCGATTTGCCGACGATATAGTCCTTATGGCAGAATCGCTGGAGGACCTTAGCACTATGCTCAATGACCTCAATGGTGTCTTCCAACGGATAGGACTTAAGATGAACATGGACAAAACAAAGATCATGTTTAATGTCCATGTCACACCTATGCCGGTAGTTGTTGGGAGCACTATGCTCGAAGTTGTTGACGAGTACGTTTACCTGGGACAAATAGTCCGACTAGGTAAGTCCAACTTCGACCGAGAGGTCAATCGACGGATTCAACTCGGCTGGGCAGCGTTCGGGAAATTACGACACATCTTCACGTCAGGTATAGCTCAATCTCTGAAAACTAAAGTGTACAACCAGTGCGTGTTGCCAGTGATGACATACGGATCAGAGACGTGGTCCTTCACCGCTGGCCGTATGAGGACGCTCAAAATCGCTCAGCGAGCTATGGAGAGGGCTATGCTCGGAGTTTCTCTGCGTGATAGACTCAGAAATGAGGATATCCGCAGTAGAACCAGAGTGACCGACATAGCCGAACTGATTAGTAAGCTGAAGTGGCAATGGGCCGGCCATATAGCTCGAAGAACCGATAACCGATTGGGAAGAAAGGTTCTCGAGTGGCAGCCTCGTACCGGTAGGCGTAGTGTAGGGCGACCCCCCACTAGATGGAGTGACGACCTGGTAAGACATGCAGGAAGTCGATGGATGCAGGTGCTCAGGACCGTGCTTTGTGGCGTTACTTGGGGGAGGCCTATGTTCAGCAGTGGACTTGTAAAGGGCTGTAATGATGAACTTATTATTGACGAGCATCTCTTTCTCTATAGTATTTATTGGCTTTATTATATATTTTCATATGTTACCGGTAGATTATTACTCGTTTCATATCACTGTTCACATTCACAATGAAAGGTAAGAGTAGGTGTTGACATTATTATTACTATTTTTTATATGAATGAAATGGTAAAAGATTTATTATTTATAACCACATAGCAAGCTATATATGGAATCAAAAGTTTATGATTTTTTTTCTAGCGTAATGAAAAACTTAATCTTTAGGGTAAGGTTGCGATGATTGGACCACTTTTATTTAAATGCTTAAAAAACGAATGTACGCAATTTGGAATAAAAGTGGTTTAGTTACTGAAGTGCTCTTGTATTCCTGTGTAAATACCTATAGTTTCAGAATTCTAAAATAGTAAATAGAGTCAATAAATGGGTAAAATGATTTTTGTTAAGGTTTCTTTGATTGGACCACTGGAACGTTCATTAGACCACTTTGTTGCTATCATTGGACTTAGGAAAATGAGTCGACCGGTCCATTGATGGGAACTCGGGAATTTAATGGTTTAAGGTGACAAAATAATAATACTACAATTTAAAGAAATGAACATTTTAATCATTATTTTAACATTTATGTTACTAATTAAGTCATTTTTCAATATAAGCATATGAAACAGTCTTCTTGGTTTTAATACCGTGCATGTATGTAACATTTTTTAAAATGTTTCCCAAAAAAAAATATAAAAATTATAAAACAACAACTTGAGGCACTTAAGTTTTTAACCATTATTTTAATATTAATTATTTTAACATTGGCTCACAAAACAGTCTTCTTGGTATATTTAATACCATGTAATCACTTTTTTAAAATGCTACATACTAAAATCGTCATAGAAAAAATATAGGAATATCAAAGTACTTAGTGTAAAATTCTTAAAAACTAAAAATACTAGTCTGAACAACAATAAACTTACCTAATATTTTTTGAGTATTGTTAAAAAAAAACTTTGTTGAACTTTTTCTGTACTAATATCAAAAACATAAAACTTAATAATAGGTACCTTAAATTAGAAGAAGCATATTTGTCGTTATTTTGAACGTAAATCATTTGTTCATGTTCATTGACAATTTTCAACTATATTTGAGATTATTCGTAACGCGTGTGATCGGCCAGTGTTAGAAAAAAAAAGTGCTAGTTTTAGGTTTCAAAATAAAGTACTAAACGGTAAGTTAAACGTATTAAAAAATAAAATTATAAGCTTCACACCCTCTAAAATAAGAAACCTGTGTTTTTTTTATTTCAATGCCTAGCTTTATACTCATTCTTGTCTTTTTTCAATCTGCCATATTTGGCTTCCTATGTGTTACTGTAAAAAACACTACTGTCATACTTGGCTTCGTATGTGTTCAAGATTATTGTTTGATTATTTCAGAAATGGAACCTTTGCGCTTTTATGACTTTTTATGTACTTTTATGTACTTTATTCGCCAACCTCAAAAAAGACATATTCCTGATCTGAATGGGGATGATGGCTTTGAATTCAAAGGTAACTCAGAATTACTGGAGATAATGCAGCTAGACACACCAGCAGCGTTCTTTAATTATTTATTTAGGGGCGACACTCCCATCTACTTGCGTGATTCTCCAGTACCTGCAAAGAAACCTCGAAAGACTTGCCTGACATCAAGAGCTTCCTTTGATTTCAGCACGTCGTGATAGAGTTATTTATTTCCTCATTTGGGAGAAAAATACCCGATAGATAAAATTCCGCGTTGTTCAAAATATCGTTCTTTCACTAAATGTGAAAATTGTAATATTTATTTATGTTTAACGACAAATGCAATTGTTTTAAGGAGTTCCACCAAATATAATTCATATTTTTTTAAACGCATACGAAGCGAAGGATTGACGTTAGATGACTAGACTGGATACGAAGCCATATATGACTCCTGAGTAATAACTTCTAATAGGTATATATAAGTTCATTATTTTTTATTTCAAATTGATCTGTTTATATAAGCCTAATTAAACACTATTTCGTAAAAACATTATTCCATCTCTTTAATAATTCATGCCGTAAGATGTTAAGATATTACTATAAGTTAAAAATATATATTATGTCGACCCGTCAGTACACGCGCACGCGACGGATGGCTAAATTTACCCGCGACGGGTTCACGGTGCGGGACGGGACCCTGCTTAACGCAGTGGACGCCTTTAATATAATCAAGGAGGGCGACAAGCACAAACTTCAGACCTTCATTAACATGTGATACTTGTAGGCGCTGATCTGCTCGTATTTACTATGCACTAATGAGTTCAAAATATCCTCTGACCCCTGCTGAACGTAGGCCTCCTCCAAAGAATGCCACACAGCACGGTAACTGTAAGACGTCCCCCGAACTAGATGGGGTGATGACTTGATAAGACATGCAGGCAGTCAAAAAATGCAGGTGGTTCAGGACCGTAAATAACTTACAAAAAAGACGATACCTGCAGTGTTGCACCGTTTCTTTTCCGGCCAGGAGGACCTGATTTCGATATGGTAGTAGGTTTGGAAAAAACACATTTTTATATCCGAATTTTTAACTCTGTCGTCAAGGGAAAAAAAGTATTGTTACGCGATGACGACTAGACAGGGGGCGTGGTTAATGATTGCGTCACCGCGGTGGTGGGGTTTTGCGTCCAGAAAGCCGGTCGCCGTAGCAGGTTGCAGGGTCACTTTGGCTCGAACGGTCGGAGAGAGTGGTTGTGCTAGGAATTAGATATCGCACATACGTTGCTATAACGTCACTTATGCAAATGATGTAATTTTTCAGGAGAAGCGTTTGAAAATTCAACACCCTATTACAACATATAGTTCTTCCCGACTAAAGAAATAAAATGATAATATTTAAACTACAACTTTAAACTTCATTTTAAGGTAAAAGCAAACATCTCACTAATTACTATTAAAAAAATATAAACTTTTAAAAATTACTACCCCCACAGAAGTGACGTTATGGCTCTAGAAAACAATTAACCTGACAATTATGTCAAAACAAACAAAACACGAAATCATGCAATTCTAAAAAAAATATTTATTATAGTAGCAAAGAAGTATAACAAAATTTCTTAACTCTACAAAAAAAAAATTCTAATAATCAAACTTTTTAATAACAGTCATCTTCCACTATTAATTAGGTGAAGTTTCGTGTTCAATGAATCATTGATTGATCACGTTTGGCATTTAAAAAATATAATTACGCAATAATCAACTGTATCATATTCTCTTACTTATCTCTAATACAAATTTGGCAAACAGTCTTTAAAAAACATAAACAATTGTTACGATTCCAGGTTAATCACTGGCGATCAACCAACGAAAAATCAACCTTATCATTGCAATTATCCATAAAACTACTATTAATTAGGCGTTATAATCACAGTCATTGTACCCATAGGGTATTAAATTTTAATTACATAATAATCAACAGTATCAAATACAAATTCTTTTACTTATCCTAATTATCATTTGGTAAACACTCTTAACTTAGAATCACTGCCACATTACCAGGAAAATCGGGGAGTCTTTAACGCTGCGGTTACAATAAAGTTGTTTTTCCTGCAAATGTAAATGTGGCTTTGTAGAATATAAGTAAAATAAAAATTAAATGAGATTATTGTAAAAACTCTCATAGTATCTTGGCACGAGATTAGCCTTCAATAATTGCAATAAATCACGCTTTTTGCGTTCTGTAATTGGTATTTTTGAAGTGTAAGCTTGCTTCAAGATAATTTCATCTATTTTTCGATTGCCTCTATTGCCGCGTAAATTTTTTGGTTGAACAACAGCTTTTGCTCCCCAGTTTTCAGTTTTGTAAGTGGTTCGATATTGGTAATTTACACAATTCTTGGTGAATTTAATACTTTTGATATCACCGGTCTTGATAACATCACCATTGACTTTTTTCGCCATATTAAAGTTCATGTTCTCCTCAAGTGATTTCAAATCGAAGAAATCGTCATAATTCATTTCATTTACTACAAATGGTTTACCAGTCTTTTTGGCCCCACGAATTAGGGAAATGTATTGGTCAGGAACATAAATACAACCAGCATTTTTGGCCCTAGTCACAGATTTTTCTATTACTGAATGAGCTGCGTCACCTTCATTTTGCGTGTGGCAACGAATCAGAAAGTTGTGTTGAATTGAGTTAATATTTAAGTTGTTCACTGCATAGTAGTACATTGCAAAAACAAATCGATTTTTTTGCTGACCACAGCAATTATCGGAATAAATTATGACATCACAGCCTGGTTTTTCAAATGCAATTTGCTGCAGGTATTTATACACACACGACCCTATTTCGATGGCTCCTCTATTGCCCAACCCTTCGTGCCAAAAATAACAGGTTGTTTCTCGATTGTTTGCATTAGATATTGTTAAATTATAACAATTAAGTCTTGATTTGTAGTAAAACGAGCTTGATTTGCCAACAGGGCAGGGTAACACCGCTTGCAAGTCATAGGTGAAAACAATTGTGTTGTTATCAGGTTCATGACATCTTTTCATATCCCTGTCTTTTTCATGTCTACTTAAGCTTTTTTCTTCCTGATGTAAGTTGAAGCTTTCACGTAATTTATTCTTTTCTACTTCAGAGGCATTTTCGTATGCTTCACACTCATCGCAACGATCTTTTTTGGGTTTGAAAAATCCAATGTTAAAATCTTGGTTGAAAATCCGTGAGTAGACGTCGTAGTTTACAATAGGCTTGTTTTGTTGCTTCTGAATTTCGGAATAATTTCTGTGCAATGCTGCGACTGTCAAACCCCCATCAATGAATTGTCTGCTAGTATTAGCCCTGAGATAATGACTTTCAACCTTTGGAATTGATTCGATATGGTCCTTTACTGCTTGTATAACTTCAGGTTGCAATTTGCATTGCTTTCCATGTTTTCCTCGTTGATCAGGTGGCGTAAAGCCATCATTCCGTGCTTTGCCGTCGATAACAGTCCGTATTATCCGTTGTGTGATACCCAGAGTGTTGATCAGAAAAGTTTTACAGACGCGGATCTCTTTATTCTCATTAAGCAAGTAATATGCAGTGTTTTCTTTTCTGTCGTACATTTTGTTAGTCTTTATACGGCGGTAAGCACATTTTAGTGTTCTTGTACAAGCGTTTAAAAAACCCCGTTGCCTTTCTACACTCTCCAACTTCCAGTAAGACTTAAATATTTCCGTCCTTTTTTGTTCAGTAAATTTTGCAGCACAGGATAACCGACATTTTGAGGTACATGAAGGTCCCATTGTCTTACCTTGATTTAGTTTTTTGGTGTTTACTGAGATATAAGTTTGACCAGAATTTTTCAATCGCTTAGCAACATTCTTTTTTCCAGGTTGTTGGATTACGCGTACGCTTTCTGCCTCTTGGTTTACTTATAGGTTGCTCTGTTTGGTTATGCCCGTTAAAAAGACTCTCATTATTAGAATTATTATTCTCAGCAGGAGTATCACTGGAACTGCTACTTGAATTGCCACTGGAACTACTACTGGAGCTACAGCTGGAACTGCTTCTGGAGCTACTGGATGAAGACGACCTTGCACGAGGGTCATCTCCTAAATCAATGCCGGAGAAATCACCTGTTGGGAAGTCGATATTATTTCGTTCATTCGTTTCATTAGTGGCATATAAAATAGACGGAGAGTTACTGGGCTTCTCTAAAGTAGTATCATTCTGCTCTGGAGTAGTTGTTGTAAGGTCATCTAGATTGGCTGGTGTTACTTGTTTCTCGGAATTTGTATGATGAGACAATGTATGTTCAGAACATGGCATCCTTGTAGAGTTGGCTAAATTTTGCACTTCAACGGAGTTTTGATTGCCATTTGAAAGTGCAAGTAGCACAAGGTTTTTACTACGTTGGTTCATTTCAGATCTGAAAGAAATAAAATACCTACATAATGATAACAAAAAGGTAAACAAAAATGTGATAATAACAAAATATATGATCGAATGATTTACCGATATTATAATTTTTAATTAATACAAAATAATTACTTATTAGATCCTTAAAGGAATCAATTGATCATGTCGGAACAATTATCATAAAAATATAAAATAATTATAAAATAAAACATTAATCCTACTATACTGGAGCAATATTGTCACAACCATTAATCTTACGTTAACTTTATACCATAAAATACAAATATTGGGGAAACAACGTCACTACTTACACAAGTGTCGTATTGTTGTTTCATGATACTAACGTCACAACTAAATAAGTGTCGTTATTACTCCAAAAACATAAAAATAAATTGTCACAATTACCTTAGTAACGTTGTACCTCCAGGAGACTGCTTCTTGTGCGGGATGCCGTGCGCAACTGACCAATGAAACGTTGTTTCTCCCAGTGGCATTCAAATTCACGCCAAAACCATAGCGACATTAGTGCCCTCACACGAAAAGTATACGTACTACACAAACGACAATAACGCACCAAGTAAAGAGGTAGATTAGGTGTATTTTCTCATACTCAGTTCAGTTTTGAGAAAAATTGCATAAGTGACGTTATAGCAACGTATGTGCGATATTACCTTAAATCAGTAATTACTGATTAATATTGTAAAAATATTATAAAAGATTTATATTACAAGTTTTGTTTTGAGTGGATTTTTATTAAGAATTTTACCTCTAATCGGTAATATCAGAAGTGGGATAGTGCTTCGTCGCCTACCCGCTTTCGGAACACCTGACTAACATTAAAGTTAAAAAGATTAGTGTTGTAATTAGATTTAAACGATTTAGTAGTTTTCTTTTTGTTTAGTTTTCGGTTTATAAATTTCAAAATGTCTGAGCAAAGATCTCGCTCTCGTAAATGCAAGCATGAGTCAAAGATGTGCTGGATGCTATCCTTGCTAGATTGAATACGCTCGAGGAACATTTTACTTAACCGCCGCCGCCGTCCGAGCCACTTTTACAGGCCGCATCAACATCTTCGGGGTCGGCACCCCATCCGGTACTACCTGCGCTCATGATTGGTGCAGCCACCGACGACGTACATCACGGCGATTCGACGGCAGGCCGCGCACCAGTTTTGTTATCACAGGAGAGCTTTGCCACAGGCGGGGACGCAACTGTTAGAATCGTGGAGGCCATCACTTCGCTAGTTAAAGTAAGGTCTAATAATTATTATATTTCTAACTGACCATCATCTTCACAATATCGACGTTTGGTGCGAAGAGGTCTATAGGGCTAAAGAAACTAACTGATGGGATGATAACAAGTGTCTGTCGCCAATCGGTAATTTTTTAAAGGGAGAAGCACGTGTATGGCTTAACGAATGGTCTAGCACCGATCGTTCATGGACGAATTTCAAACGAGAATTTAAAATGTTGTGCCCGCGAACCGTCGATATTGCGTCTATTCTTAACGAAGTGATGACCAAAGATTCTAAAAGTTACGCCACTTACGCCGAATACGCTATAAGTAGTTCATAAAAGATAGCTTGGTCTCTGCGACAGCTGTCAGTAAAATCACGCCTATGAAGTCCTGAATTTCGTAGTAGTACAGACAGTACCTGTCAATGTAACTGTCTAAATCTTTTATGAACTATAGACGTTCATTGTTAAGGTTGAGTTTGGTTAAGGGACTATCTGACGAAATAATTGTTGCAATAGTATTGAGAGGCATCACACATGCTCACATTAAAGCTGCAGCTACTAATGCAAAGTTACAACCCAATGATTCATCATGCAATTTTGGTCCATGTACGTAAAACCAAAAGATGATTTTCCGTCTACCAGCGATATATATCGTGGATCGCGCTCTAGTTTTGGATCAACCATTACCCGACGGAACGAAAATAAAAAGGGAGTTGGCGATTTAAAATGTCACTTGTGTGGAAGGTTTGGGCATAAACGTATAGACTGTATGAGTGCTAAAAGAACGCGGATAGGTAATAGTTTGGGGTCGTCACCGTCTAACACACAGTCCCCAAATTCTTTATGAAAAGGAACTCAGGTTCGGGGTCCTCTCAATCCGGCCGCGAAGGACCAATTGAAAAGGACCAGGTCGGATTTCTTCTTGATCCCGTCGCGAAGGACCAATTGAAAAGGACCTAGCGGATCGGGTACTAAGAAACAGGAATCGAGGCTTCTCTCGATCCGGCCTCCTATCACGCCTACGTTGGGTTCGGGAACAACGTATGTGATCTCCGCAACGGAGTAACACACTAGGGCGATAACCTCTTCCTTTTCAGCAAGTAGGTTCAGACGGGGATTACGGGTCTTCCGAAGTCGTCCCGGTCCCGACGCCTTAATTCTTCGATGTGGACTGTATAACTTAAGGGATGAATTACTTGGGAATGAAACAGCGATTATCTTCAAACCGTTCCGTGAGAGAGTAATCACTTTTCCCTATCACTTCCCTACACTTTTTCTTTCTTCTTCTTATTGACTGCTGGTAAGATCCCCGAACTATTTCCGAACTTCCCCGAACTTCCCCGAACGATTCCCGAACGAATTGCAATAAAACCCGTTCACTAAGCTACCCCAGAGCTATACGCGAAAGTGAGCCGCGCCATCTGCGCGCTTGCGCAACTTAATTACATGAATTTGTACTATTACTCTCTCACGTTTCACTCAATATCTTTATTTATTCAAATCATATACAAATACAATTTATCAATATAGGTAGTACAAAACAATATCTACACCATGATATACATCATATCTTCATATCATAAAAAACCTTTTATTTATTAAACGAAAACTGCCTATTTTACTCACAAGTTCGAAATCGAAATTTCTTAAATATTTAACACAGAAAGTTAAAACAATGTTTCTCACTTGAATTTATACATAAGCTAACCAATACAATAGTTTAATTTACATTTTTTCTATTTATTTCACTATTTAAAACACTTTTAAATTTCTTATACAAAACTATCATTATTTCACTTATACACAGGAATTTTCACATGAAAATAACACAGAATTTACCTTTTTAGCACGTACAATTAACCTGAAATATTTTACAAGTAATTTTTACATAAATCACTGAATTACAAACATTTTAAATTTTTACATATTCGGCCTCCTAAGGGCGTGGCCAGCGTGCTTCCGTGTACTCACGCTATGTGAACAACTAACTTTGCACGGCTCTCGGCTATCAGAAAAAATTAAATTATGAAATACACCAATTTTGACCACATTAGGCAAATTAAATGCTTTTATACAATTTTCGAACTGTATGAAACTATCTTTAATCAGATAACAATATAAATGAATGTTCTCATTAATCAATCATAACAAATAGGCATTTGTTTTCGTACAAAACGTATCAAACTTATACAAAACAACATTTATGCAATTAATATCCATTAATTCTGCCTATGCACAGAGTGATTATCTCGACCGGGGAACAAATCCGATCTTTAACTTCACTTTAATATTCTTATGAATTTACATCATTTGAAAGATGATTTCAACCGGGGAACAAATCCGGTAACATAATTTATATCTTAAATTCCTTACGAATTTATTAAGCGATATTACTTAGGAAAACAAACAAACTAGTCCGGCCTGGGAGTCGAACCCAAGACCTTCATATCATTAATTCGACATTTCTTAAAGATTTAACTAAGCATTCTCTTATCAGAGCGTCGTTGCTCGTGACTGCCCCTTTTTTCATAGCAACGTCATCGGTTGATTTAATAAACTGAAACATTTTTATAGGCGCGTCGCCAACAATCTCCCCCCCGTGCGTTAGCACCATCATTTGGGAGGCGTCGCGGGTACCAGGACTATTATTCTGGATGTAGGTCTCCTCAAGATACCTGTGCTAGTAATGACGTCAACCACTCTGGTGTGACCGTCTGGTCCCGGTAACGTTCTACTAATTTTACCTTTTGGCCACGTATTTCGTGGCAACGAATGATCTATTATCAAAACAATATCGCCTTCTTTAGGTTCCATGAACTTGCCGTTATCACCTGTTCGAGGTATTAACGTAGGCATGTATTCTTTCAGCCATCTTGTCCAAAAATGGTCGGCTAACCTCTGTGCAGCTTTCCAATTGAGTTGACCCGTCAGATGTCGCTCTAAAAATAATCCAGGTGGTCGATCACCACATGAGCGTCCCAGAAGAAAATGATTGGGTGTCAAACCCTCTTCAGGACTATCCATACTGAATGTTACCAGAGGTCTGGAATTTACCGTATGCTCTGCTTCTAAAAGTAACGTATGTAGAACCTCCTCTCGTGGGCTCTTCTCCTTAAGCGTAGCGGTCAACGCAATTTTAATCGATCTTACTAACCTCTCCCAGGCGCCACCCATGTGCGGTGCTCCCGGAGGTATAAATTTCCATTTAATATATTTCTTAAATGACTCGTTTTTCATGCCCTCCCTCATAGCATTCTTCGCATGCTTTCAATAATTCTTTATTTGCAGCTTTGAAATTTGTCCCGTTATCGCTGTATATAACGGCTGGTTTTCCTCTTCTGGCGATAAATCGCCTTAACGCCATTATCATTGACGCTGGTGTCAATGAGGCTGCTAATTCCAGATGTACTGCTCTGGTGGTCAGACACGTGAATAAAACGCCCCAACGTTTTTCGTGTCGCCTTCCTATAGTCACACTCATAGGACCAAAATAATCTACAGCTGAGCATGTAAAAGGTGGCTCATGATGAGCTATTCTTTCCAGAGGAATATTTCCTTGTGGCACGTTTTGCGGCTTTGACCTGTATGTCCTGCACCACTGACAATGGTGTGACACACTTCGTACTACATTACGCAAGTTCAAGACGTAAAATTTCTGGTTCACCTCATTCATCACCGTCTGGTGATTGGCGTGTCCAAAATGATGATGAACTTCTCTAATCATCATTTTAACGATTTCGTGTTTACCGTCTAATATGACAGGTT